TGTAAAATTCATGTTAATCTTACTGCTCTGTGTTGTCTTGTGTCACTATAAATTTGGTGAAGTTTATAATTGATAAACTGCCAACATCATGAACTTACAAAGAAAAAAAATGGTATCTGGTGATGAACTATGTTGGGTGAGAAGTACAAATGTTAATATTTTCAGATTTATATCTGAAATCTATTTCTATGCATCTATTTACTTAGCAGCCTTTTATAAGGACACCACAACTGAGGCCTACTGTTCCATAAAAAACAGCCTTCATGAAAATCAGCATATCAGAAGTTTCAACTTTCAACTTTCAATTTTCAATTTCAACACATGCAGTACATTTTAACAGAGTGTGCACCTGTCACATTATATAATCAAGCTTTCATTTTTTCAAGATAAAAATTTCTGTTCCATACCGCTGCACAAGAGGTATCCACTAAACAGCAAATGCAAAGAAACAGAAGTGTACTTTAATATGTTAAATGTACTTGCTTATCTCTTTAGATCAAACTAATAACTTCAAGAACTAATCCAAAAGCAGCTGAAATGAAGTGAAAAAATTATTCACTGAGGGTTCAGAAGTCCACTGAAGAACACGACTGATAACTGATGATAACACTGAACACAACTAGATAAATGTGAAATTCGTTTTGACCAAAGATCTGAACATGAGGAAAGTGTGTGAAAGTAAAATGGCTGGTGGACTTTGGCCTTCCAGTACAACTCATATCCCTCACACCCTAATTATATATGATCCATTTTAACATTTCCAAACCACAAGCCAATGAGGGTGATTTGGCATATTTGCATCACAATTGCTAGAGCCAATGAGATTGGCCTGGGGTTAATCACTCAGAACAGCATGTCAGTCAAAACATGGCATCAAATGTGATGTACTGCTGTTCAGAAGACAGAACAGGCTCTCAAATTGATTTCTGTGGTCATCTGTACAGAATATGAGAAAGTATTGTGGGTTTTCTGTGCAACTACATTGACTCCTATGAAGCCTTGGCATTTCTAGCAGCAGTTTACAGACATAATTGCCAGTCATAGGATTAAAATTATGTTCCCTCTCAACCAGATCTTGCAAGTGGTCTTTCCCTTTTAGGTCTTTTTTTTTGTGTGTGAAAATTCTGTTACATTAGCAAAAGGCACAATGATGCTAGCGATGAGATTATGTTCTGCAGGAATATGTATAATAGTATTTGTTCCTAGCTCTGCATGGATACACATGCAAGCACAAATCACAAAACAATCCATACTCCCATTGATGTAAAATTAATATTACATTTAACAGGCATGCATGTGAATAACTTTTTCAGTTCAAGGCAAGAATTTGGAAATATTTCAAGAACTGAGATGAGAACAAGAAGTTTCTCTAGTGGACCAATTTTGTCATTGTAATAATTTATAACACTAGACACCGCTTCACAATGCACTGAAGGGTACTGACTTTTTTATTTATTGCTAGTGGGGTGGGACTAAGTCCCTTGTACTGCGGCCACTTCTGGCCTATTGTACCAGTCCCAGATGATAGGTGAGGGTGATTGTGGAGCAATTAGTGTAATGAAGATTGGCAGGGGAAACCGAAGTACTCAGAGAAAACCTGCCCCAGCGCCACTTTGTCCACCACAAATCCCACTTGACCAGACCCGGGATCGAACCCGGGCTGCTGTGGTGGGAAGCCAGCGACTAACCGCTTGAGCTATGGCATGGCCCTCCTGACATATTTACTGAATGGAAGATGATTCTGAATGCAAGATGGCCCTACACTAAAATATTTGCACAGAAAAAGTAGTTTTATGAATTAATTTCATAATCTTACTATTAACATGGGGAAGAAAATAAATATTAGTTAATCTGTTATATACAAAATTTACTGAGTTAGTTTTCTTACTAGTCTTTATTAAGCTTCATCAGTCTCTGTTCTCTATTCCTATCACCTCTCTCATCTGCCACATCTTCACAATTCCCATCTTATCTCCTATTCACTGCCACCATTCAAAACTTCTTCCTAATCCCCCTTCCACCCATTTCATCAGATATAATACAACACTTTTAAATCCTCTGATCATCATTTCTGACTGCCTCTGTGGTCTAGTGGTCAGAGTTCTTGCCTACAGATCCAGAGGTCCCAGGTTTGATTCCCAGTGCTACCAGATTTTTTTGAGAAGTAGTGGGTCTGGAACTGGGTCCACTCAGCCTCGTGAGGATAACTGAGGAGCTACTTCAAGGAAAGAGCAGCTCCACTCTAGAAAACACAGAGTAATGGTCATGGGGATCCACTGCGCTGACCACTTGACACCCTCTATCCACAAAAGTTGGCTGACAAGTGGTGGTCACTCAGTCAGTATAGTTCACTTGCAGACTACAGGCCACAGAATTTGTCTTTTGTTTTTTGATCATCATTTCTGGAGAGATCTATTGTCATAATCTTGATCTACCAGCACAGTGCTTCACATTGGGCTTCTTACTGTGCCCATGGTTTCAAAGCATAGTACCCTACCAAGAGCCATTTAGGATACAACTGTTTTAAATGATCATCAAAAGGTTTATTCACTAAAGTGAACACTTATGAAGCCATCCCTCCAGGTATGACCACAAGGTCAGTATTCACTGCATGAATCACAGCTCTGATGTCCATTGTTACATGACCTTCAGATGCATGCAACACAAGCATTCCATATTTCTTTTCAAGAATACTCTTGGTCCCCTGTTCCAGACAATATGAGATCAGAACCACTCCCAAATCAGTTCATTAATTAAGACATGATTGCTAGCCCTACAAGCAGCTGTACCTTAGACACAGTTCTTTCAATTCACTGTCACACAGTGATAGTTTCACACTGTCTACTAACTTAGTCAACATTAGTCACTCACATCGTTTTAATGCCTGAAGTTCAATGACAAGAGATTCTGCACCTACACCAATACTGACGGTGTAATTGGATGGCATATGGAAATACGCTTGAATTTCAATGACAGTGCATCAAAGTGTGATGGAAGTTGTTTCTTCTGTTCCTCTGTGTAATATACACAGCATCAGTCTCTCATTGAGTAATGATTTTGCATGAGACTGACAACACAGAACTTTGTCCACCTTCAGATGTCCACCTCAAGAGATGCTCTATTTTCTTGCCACTTAACAGTTGTTTTGCATCTTTAATCACCAGTCTTAACATACGAACCATTACCACAATGCTCGATACTTTCCAACAAATCATTCCCTTTCATACTAATTAATACCACTTTCTTCACATGACCTACAATCTTTATGTTAAGCAACACTTGCATTAGCATAGAATGTCATGATATTGCAAATCACAGAATTACAGACTTTGTGTTGTAACATTTAAGATACTTGAGGCAACCTTGTGGCAATTCATGGCTTGTCTCTCTCTCACTTTCTCACTTCTAACTCTCACACATTATGACTGTTCAAGATGCAATCTGTGCTGTCAACATGAAAGAGGTTAAAAAAAAGGGTAAAGCTGTCCCTGTAACAGGCCGTCAAGGCATACAGGGATGTGAGAAGTTGAGGTTCCCACATCTTCTAGACAATCAGCTCACAGATAGTAGTAGGGTTGCCAGCCTTATGCCCCTGCTGCCCTATAACCCCGGGAGTCTTCCTGGTACTCATTTCTGTTAGAGGCTGAGTTGACCACAGGCCCATAGTGCGGCTTGAAGGATTAGGCAAAAGGTAAAGCTGTCCCTGTGCTCAANTGAATTACAGACTTTGTGTTGTAACGATAAATGATACAAACTCCGTCCTAAGTGCAAACAATATATATTATATGTCCTTGATCTTGTTCTTTCTACACTACATGTTTCGGCCTCTATCGGCCATCATCAGGTGTATACTCTTAACGTTGCTGCCACACTGAACTCAGTCTAAAATTTAACATTCAAAAACACAATGTCACATTCTTCGTATTATCAACATCTACATCGTTGATATGTGTCTGGTATGTAGATTATGTTGCACACGTCAAATGTGATATTCTTGTAGTAGCACTCTAAAAATCTTTAGTTATGATGTTTTTAAAACCTTTTAAAATTTTCTCAAAATTTTAAATTTTAAATTTAAGCACTACACCATGAAGGCATATGGGGAGAAGAGATAATTCTTGACCCTGCTGGGACTTTGAAATCCAATCCCTCAGTTGTCCAGCCCATAGCTAGTCACTATACCAACTATGTTATCCCGGCTCCTGAAGGATTAGATAAACTGAAAAAATTCAATGACCTCTCTTCGGGACTCAAATCCGCGACCTTCCGGTTTGTAGCACAGTGCCTCAACCAACTACAGTACTGCATGCTGTCAACATGATAAAAGCTTACAATGGCTTAAAATTCAAGTTCATTATGACAACTTATGGATTTAATGTCCTTGAAAGGGGTGAAACTCATCTTGTATTCCAGCAAATATGACACCAATCTCTTTTGACATGACCCTGACATGCAAACTTCAAGAATGGAAAAATTTATGTTTGAACCGAGACCTAGAATTTTTTCTCAAATCGGTCCTTAAAGTTTGAGACTCAAACATGCTTAATACCTAACAGCCAGAAGACTGACGAGTTCTGTCTTATGGGATATAACATCATGTACACCATTAAAGTCAACCAATGTTTCAGAGGAACATGTCACCTCCATTTTCAGAGTAAAAAATAAGTCAAGTAAGATACCAGCATGAAGTAGAAAGGAAGCAGAGCAATTGCCTGGTTTCTTGCTTGGCTTATTATTTGACCCTGAAGTTAGAGGCGACATGTTTCTCTGAAATACTGGTTGACTTTCAATGGACTACACAGCATTATATCCCAGAGGAAAGAACTCATCACACCCACCACCACCGTGAAAATCTCAAATGCTACAGTCACAAGACTATTTAATATATCTGGATTAAAATTCCAACAAGATACATAAAAATACTGCACAAACATGTGTAGTTACTAATACTTTTGCTCTGAAGTTTGACCTCTATATCTAAGAAAGAATAAGAAAAGTACCTGTGTTTTTGTGCCAGGTCTTCGCCATGATACAAAGATATGCCATGGGGACCAACCCCTAAACAGGTAGCTATACATCCCTCACCACTTGGTTTGCTGTGGAACAATTCTTCTCCAAAACTATCCAAGTAAGATGCCTCCTTCAGTAACCAGTATTCTGCTGCTGATGGCTTCATACCCTGGTCAATTCCACATATTTAATACAATATCTAGCACAAAATTAAAAAGAACACTTAATATAAAAAATAAAATAAAAACTGTTTCCATGTGAGGAAAATAAAATGGAACATCAAAATAGTATATGGTACTGGCCTACACAATTTTAATTTCTAAACAGCCTGGGGCAGAGCCATTCATACATACCTGCCATTTTTGTTTTCTCAAGGACATTACATTTTTGTAATTATTATGATATGAAAACATGAATAAGAAACTAAACTCTTAATCTTTGCTGATAAATTTTACAGTTTACGTAGTTAATCCTTTACTCAATGTACTTGTACTCCCAGAATTTATCAATGGTATTACCACTTCCCTCCCCCACAAAACCTCAACTTAACAAGATAATTAGTTACTGCACAAAAAAATAATTTCTCTACCATCACAATGAACGACAGCTCAGATAGCACAGTTTGTATAGCAACTGGCTACAGGTGGACAACTGAGGGGTTGGAGTTCGAGTCCCAGTTGGGGCAAGAATTTTCACTTCTCCATGTCATCCAGACCAGCTCTGGGGCCCACCTAGCCTCCTATCAAATGGGTACAAGGATCTCTTTCCCCGGGGTGTAAAGCGGCCAGAGCGTGAAGCTGACCGCTCACCTCCAGCTAGTGGTGAAGTCAAGAAAATGTGGATCTACACAGATACTCCCCCATATGCCTCCATGGCACAGTGCTTAATTAGTTAAGCACATGGAAAACTTTACCTTACCATCAGAATGAATGACTCCAACCACAAAGACTTACTCTTCTTAATATATCGATCTTTAATATGTATATATAATACCATTTTATGATAGAAGTTCATGTTTCTATGGAAGACTGAAAGGTTGTACATGTGATATACAATGCCATATAAAACACTAACAGGAAATCTTGCTTACATGAACAAATTTTATAGTGTGTCATGCCAGGCACTAAATATAAGCTGACCTTCAGTTCCTGGTGTTCCAGAGACACTCTGTGAAGGACATCTGAAGGCTTTATGTCTTCCACACCACAAAGTTGGGAACATTGCTCCAAATACTTGCAGTGATGTTGTTGAGATGTCAGAGGTTCAAAGTCACCACACTCAGCCTGCACCATAAGTGCTAAAAACTTGGTAGTTATGCTCCAATCATTTACTTTAAGTCTACCTTCCAGGACGTCAAGTCTTGCATGTAGGTAAAACTGATGCCTATATACAAGGACAACTATCACAATATGCTGTAATGATAATAGCATATGTACATTAAAAAAGAAGCAGAAAAGCAAAACCAGGACACTCTTCAAGATGCCTTCATCATCATCATCAACAAAACTATGATCTTCACTGTCATTACAATCACTGTCACCATTATAACTGAATTTCCCTCTCTGACACAACGGTTACCAAGCATGCTGGATTAAGTGGCAATGTTTCAGACATGTATTTGGAGATGACTGGTTTGAATCTTCACTCAGACACTGACTACTGTGAAGTTTTCCATGATTTCCTTCAGTTCCAGCACAGAAATGTCACGATAGTACTTCAATTTTGGCCACAACTGCTACCTTCCAAATCTTTTCAAACTCAATATTCACTGATCATCCTTCCATTCAAGGCTATATAGCCTGAGCTACCAGCACTGTCATTATAGAAACCATAAATAAATAAGATACAAAAGTTATATTTATGAACCATAAGGTTACCTTGTCCCTTGGGTACAACAAAGAAACCGATTTATTCAAGAAATACTTTAAATGAAATCAACCTTTAATAAAATTTTGTTCCTGATAAGAAACCTGAATATTACATATTAATGCAGTTTGGAAATAACATTACATAGCGACAAACTTTTATGCTTACGCATAGGATAACGGATTTCCACAGATCATTCCACACAAATATTTCTTACAAATGTCAACCTCTCCGTAAAACAGAGGTGTAATGCCAAGTGTGCAAGAATTATCATCCCACATTAAATAATAAAATAACGTATAAGAACTCTCAAATCCTTTCCCTTTATCATAACAACAACTCTGACGTTTAAAGTGATGAAGTTAATGCTGCTATACGTGGATGTAATTACCTGGTTGAATCTTGGAGGAGGAGATGAGGAGGCACCCAAAATTTCACTCGCAGAGCAAAACGGTATGGCGGAAGACCAACCACCTGCCGTTCTATGGGGTTGCGCAAATTAAGCCACAGCTCTTCACCTTTTGCTCCATGATACTTAAGGCCGAAATAATCCGACTCTGTGCTTATTCCAAGGCAATGGCATACCTAACACAATGTTCAAAAGATTTAATAATCTAACCTTGATACTGACACAATGTGTTCCTAAAATAGCCTCACACAGACTGAAGGAAGAAGCATCTCAAACAAAATTCTCAAACACAAAACGGTCGAAAACGACGGAAAATTACCTTTTCCAAACATTCTTGACCTTCTGCCTTTGGATCAACTTTAACTTCTATTATCACACAATTCGGCTGACTTACTAGGCACCACATTCTTGTTCGATTTGCTAGCCCCATGCTAGCAAAACACTTTCATTTTATAAACGACAAAATGTGTAGTAATTCGTTCACTGCAATGTGAATCTGGATACATCCAAACACACAACACCAAAACCATTGTCCGTCACCGACCATCGCTCTATCGGCCAACATGAACAATGTAGTCTGTTCTGACCGGTTCTGACGGTTTAGACGTTTAGACCGTTCAGACTTTTCCCACTGATAAAACTGTGGCGGTATTGCATAACATATTTAACTTTCATTGGACGAAGTATATGCTTAGGCCGCTTAGGCCCACCCAACATGGAAGTGCTACTTATTTGAGTCACTGATAAGTCTGTTACACCAATGCAGGGAATATTTTTTAAATTATGTCCAGTTATATTGCAGTTTACTTGTACCTGGGCACATTGGATCATCCTGTAGACGTGACCGTAAGCAGCTGTAAACAGCTGTAAACGTGACTGACGTCACAGTAGAGACGTGTTATTTACCTCGTAGAGCTGTGGTAATGACGTTCATGACCTTTTACCCGTCACAAAAGTAATATTGTATTTATACAATAGCATTCGCGCATAATGTATGTGTCACGAATAGTTCACGGAGGTGATCTCTGAAGCAACAAAGTTTGCAAGTCGAGCAATACGGGGGAATATCAGGGTTGTATGTAATTCCATCCGTACCAGGGGGCGAGCGTTCGATCACGCTTGGTACACATTGGTAAATATGTCTGCACTAAGCCGATGACAGTAGCCACGCTGTCTGAGGCATGATGTGTCTTCTCTTGTTCGAAACCCACCCAAGGAAAGGCTGTCTCCGTATGCGTTTATTCTGTTTGTGTTCTGCACGTTGGTAGTCCTTGTGACAGACCGATCCCCGTCCAAGGAGTCATACCGACTGTGTACAGAATCAAGAAACTGAGAAGCGGCCAAGGCTCAACAAAAGGCTCTAAACTAGTACTGGTAGTGTCAGTGCTGTATGTCGCTGCATGTTTTGCCACAGGCTAATTCTCACTGTCCCCAAGCAGGACCCAACAGGTTAAGAATTGTTGAGTTGTGTGATTATTTAAATGAAACAGGTGAAATGATTTGCACTAATCAACAAGTCTCTAGCATGCACTTCTAAAACATAAGATGCAGAATAAAGTAGACTGGTTTGTTATGGAATGCAATCTGCATAACACCTACTTGATTTGCAATTAACACAAATTTGAAATCATTATGGAATATAAAAATTCACCAGTAAGTTTATTTAATTGTTATAAGGGTAAGCACAAAAATTGGTTGATAATTTGTGAGTGCACACCTCAGCAGATTTTCACCAAAGGAACACTAATCTGGTATGGGACATGCCATGACAGTTGACAGCAGTCAATCCTTATCAGTCCACTGTAATGAATACCATCAAAATATCTCAAATCAGACTTCATAAATTTTGCTAAAATGGTTTATTACTGGAGTGTGCTGCCAAGTTATCAGAGGGGCTTATACTGACAAGCAGTATATATGTACATATTATTTAAATGTACAGAATTACATAATGTGCCAGGCTTATACTATACTGGGAATGTTTGCCGAGTAGATTGTATACATCTGGGATAATTGGCCAAAAATTAATAAAGGACTCATCAGAGCCCTCTGCAGAACGTGCCTGGTTCATCATTTGGCAAGGGGATATGTTACATGGCATAAAGTACACATTCAAAAAGCATCTCCATTTTACACATTTTTAACAAAACACAGTGTATTATTTGGTCTTCATTCTACAATAAATGGAACAAATCTATAATGCACTATGCTTACCTTTTGTGATCTTCCACAATCCACACACGTGAATAATAGTCCATTACAACTTCTTCCATCCTCTTTACGTTATACAATCATAAGTAAATGATAAACACCCTTTTTGTGACCTAACAAACAAAGCCAGACTGAATATGTATTGTGTGATTTCAAAGTTCATAAAGGCTACCTGCCACTTCTGAATGTTTCTGAAAAAACGATTTCCTTCAGCTCTGAATAAGCTTTATATCTCAATTTTAGTTTTTTACAGATTTTCCTGGCACTGGCACCCATCCATCCTTCTACTTTCCCAGCCAGTCACTACAACTGGGAGAAAAGTACTGGGAAAATAAGTAAGGACAGCACCCCAGTTATAGGAATCTTATGCATCGTCTCAGGAAGGCTGCAATTGCATCCAGCACCTATGGACTGCAACAGTGGCAAAACATGTCTGGAATATTTCCCAAAATATTTCTTGTGAGAGGAAAATAGCAGAAACAAAAATTACACAGTGGGAGAGATTTAGAAAAAGGATCAATGAATTGGTGTGTTTTTTATAATAGTACAATCAGTTAACTGACTTTGGGCCAATCTCTATAATATCACCCATAATGAATATACAAAATGTGGCGAGGGAATACGACAGATTCCAAAGAGCCGCACATTGTTCTTCTGATCTATGCAGTTGCTTCCAGCAGTATATTTGTAGTATTGTTAAGAAATGGACTATGACATTTACCGAATTTAAGTTTGTAGTGTAGGGTCAAGGATTTCAGTTTCTTGTTGACAGGTGTTGTAGAATTTCTTCCCTTAAGATTACCTTAAAGTGGATATAAAAGCAACAGAATACGGACAGTGTTTGTGACCCTTTTGTGGATGGTTAAAACACTGAATCACTAAACAAGCAAATGGGTCTGTCAACACAACATAAATATCCTCAAATGAAGACAAAAATATATACTGTTATATCACTATTATTTATTGTGCAAAGGTGGTGCTACATGTTTCAACCTTTGCTAGGTCATCATCAGGCATTACAAGAAAACTAAAACAAAATTCTTAAAGTGTCTTAATATGAAGAATACCATCGTCTGGGATGTGGCGCCATGTAGATATTGTGTAACCTGACGTTTCGGAGGAATGTATCGCCTCCATCTTCAGGGTATAAAAATCTGCAAGCGAGGAACCAGAGTGAGCAGGTGCAAACATCGGTTTACACAATATCTACATGGTGCCACATACCAGAAGATCCCCGCCATGAAAACCTCAAAGTTTACATGTCTTAATATGGATCCATATTATGATCCATTGTCATCATCACAGTGAATCTACTTTTGGTGAATGTGGACTAGTAATAAACGCAAGCACCTTATAATGTGTCAATGCAACCCATAAGCTATCCCTATAATAGGCAGTGAAGGCCCACAGTGTTGTGGGCTCAGCTCACAGATGGTGATAAAACTGTCAGCCTAACGCACTGGTTCCCCTTTAGCCCCCAGGAAGATTCCTTGTACTCATTTCTGTTAAAGGCTGAGTTGAACCCGCTACCTTCTGGCTTGTAACATGGTGCCTCAACCAACTACACTATTGTGTGCCCCATGCAACCCATAAAGATTACTAAATTACTATGCACAGTGTAGATGTATTGCATGACAAATGTTCCGAGCCACGACACCGTCACATTAAAATTTTTAAAAATGCATCAAAATAATAAACACTTTCAAGAAGAATCTACTGAACTAATTTTTATTTATTTAATACTGTACAAGATTGTTCTACTGCATAAAACTAGAAATAAAACATTAATAACACCTACTGTCGACATGTTTATATATTTATTAACATTCTATCAACAAATCTCCAACTTCCACACTAAGTACCAATTCGAAACAGCAATAATATACTTTAACTGGAATGAGGAATGTAAGAACGTAAGTAGGGTCTAAGATACATCAAACTGCACACACACTTCAATTAAGAACATAACCTGGAATATCTGTAAAGGCCACCTTTAATAGAAGGTGCAAGATCAAGATTAAAGGTGCGGCCACACAGAGCACTACACTATGTTCACTGCACCACGTGACCACACAGAAAGCTATGTTTGGTATGAAACTGCTCAGTCTTGAATGAAATGTTGGCCGATACTGTGCCATGGGGGGGGGGCAGCAATGATTCTGACGATGAGCTTTTGCTGTTACTTTCCTTTTGTAAATGTAAAAGGAAGTGGGTGCATGGCATGAACTTAAGAAGAACAAAGTTTGCTGAATTTCATCATCTAATAAAGCAGTTACATGAAGATGAAGTTAAATTTAAAGAATATTTCCAAATGAATGGGGTTGATGAAAATATTTTAAGTTCTTCACTAACAGATAAAAGAACAATGTTTGTACATTACCTTGTGTATTCAATTCTCCAGAAATCATGACCCAGGCATTACCCCGCGTGTTCTGGTTCCGATATTCTTCTAACCCTTTGTTCCACAAACATGGATACTTCCTTACTTCTTCAATTAATTCCTCCAGTATCATTTTCATCTAAGCGAATACTGCGCTGAATGATACATAACACATGTTGTAATCAGAGTGGGAAATTAGTGAGGCGCGCAGCTGACACCTGGAAGCGAGCCCAGTGCGCATGCCCATCCAGCGCAATGTTTTAAAAATATAGCCGAGAATCAAACACACTGCGACGTAGCTAACATAGTGAACATAGCATACGTAGCGTACTGAAGTCTGTGTGGCTATTCACATTGGCAATAAAGGGAGATATTTTTCTGTTTGTATAGCGAACACAGTGGACATAGGGCTGTGTGGCCGCACCTTAAGTCCCTGTAATTATTTTAAGCACAATGCCAAGAAGACACGTGGGGAATGAAGATACACCTCATCTCTTTTGTTTACAATTTACATTACAGTAAATGAACCATGCAGTTTCCATTCTGCCATTAAATCTTTCCCTGTATGATGATGCTAATGTGAAGAGTAAAATTATTAAATGTGTAGTGTTTGTAAATACAAATTTTTACAGTATGTCACAGTGAACATAATTCTCATGCCTTGAAAGCACCAACTGCCAAGTCCTGTTAAATATACGCCAATTTCCAACACCTGACTATAATAACAATAAGGTATAGATATATTTCAACAACTATCAGGTTTATTTCATAAAGCCATCTCATTTGGCATACACTTTATGAAAGTCTAGTAAATAAGAGTTTTGGATGCGCATGACATGTATCTCCTCCTTGAAGTTACTTCAGAGCAGCCTGATAATTCTTGTGGAGTTCTGGTTTAATGTCATATACCAACTCTAAAACTTTTGTGATTACCTGTTTCAAAGAAAACAAATACATATTATTTCAAGAATGCAGAACATCATCAAAAATTTCAGTGCACACGCACCACAACTATTTATGCTACATGTACAATTTGTCATAAGATTATGTTTTACTGTGAGAAACCTGTATTTTTCCACTTCACTTCCATAATCATACCTCTAAGGGAAAGTTACAGTCATCTATTGAACTAAGACACTCATTTTACCACAGAACACTAAGATTCATACATGTCTCACCTCCCTCTCACTTCTTGCATATTTATAAATAATTAGGATGTTTTAGAGTGGAGGGAATGAAAACTCTTGCCCAGTACAGGGAATTTCATGAGATTGAGCCTTACATGGAGAAAGGAAAAGTAATATATTATTATATTAATATATAATTAAAAGTAATATGTTAAACAGAGTGGCTTGCAGTTCTGTCCAAATCCCTTGTAGTTTGCACGTGAATACTGGTGTATTCAGTCTCCCAGTAGCAGCCCAAATATTTCATCAAGACTTTCTATGCTATAAAATGGCTTCAAGGCATCCACCAAGAGTTAAGTAGCTATGAGGGTGAATGGGACAGTAAGAGTAAAGCTTACCTGGCCGAAAACAAATGTACCAACATCTTACAATAATACAGCAGAAGACAAACTACATGAAAAAGATTGACAGCAACCTGAACAAGATCACATGATCAAATGACAAAGGATATTCACAATTTTACAAAAAGATTAGTTCATTAGAAGAGAATCTTCACATGGATTCAGAATCTCAAGGAATTTATTTTTATGTTGATAACAGTTTTCAGACTGATAGTAGGGGAAATTAAAGAATGCCGTTAAGTTGTACTCATAAAAATTTTACAAAAGCAGATGTCAACTGATGTTACCATCTCAGAAATACTCGTATACTTGTTTTATCTGTTATTGCACAAATGTGTCATAATTAAAGAAATCCACTGGGTGACTATTAGTCAGCTCTCAGCTTCAACCCATACCATTATAGAATAGCACAATTCTTGGTATCGGGTATCACTGGCACAACAATGACAGCTCCTGCAACTGCAATTGAGGTCCTCCTTGGACTCCCCCACTGCACTTGCAGTTGAAGGCTGTGGTCAGAGCAGGAATTTAGACTCCACTGCAGTGATCAGCAGAAACCCAAATCTGAAGTTTCTGGACATGCATACATGACTCAGGACATGAATGAAGAACCCATCCTACATATGGGGATTGGTAAAATGGTACCATGACATGTCTATGACAAACCACTCAGTCACAGGGCTCAAATGGATTCTGTAAGAACCCTGTCAGAAGAAACAAGGAACTGTTAAAACTAGACAGAAACCAGTTATGGTGGATGAAAAGAATACTTACAGAACAGAGTCACGTGAAAGGAAAAAAATTGTACAGGCAATAACCAGAAGTCATACAAAATCATGAGAATGAACATGTTTGCAGCATAGGACTAGGCAAAGCCAAACATAGAAAATATAAGAGGCTTAAACTTGGAGGTGGTCAAGTTTATGACCATTCAAGTGACTAGCTACCATTCTAGCATAACAGAACACAGGCATGATATGCTTTGAAAAGCCTTGACTGACAGAGGGCTTGCATATGGTGCAATAAGGAAGACTTTTCAATACCATGCTATATGTGCAATACATATATTTGACAAAAGACTAAGTATATTCATAAGAGACAAAACCCATCCTCTAATCAGAGAGGATATTACATTAGGACTTGGACTGCAAGGGTTCAGGTGAAAAAATTTCTGATCATAAGCCTAAAGGGGATTGGTTCCAAGAAGAACGACTGGCGGTGAACCACCCGTAATAAAATAACTCTGACTTTGACTGAAAGGATGCCTCTTCAGAATTGGACTAACAAGTAGTTCTATTTGTGAAAGATGCCTAGAAAAAGATGAATCAGGCATACACATCGTCACCTGGGCCATTGCTTTGTGGAACCAGGTGACCACCAAGATGACCCTGTAAGTAAGATACTACATTTCATTCAAAGTGCAGAATCGTTGAAGAGCTGAAATAGAGGAGGATGTACAGTTGATTACTGAAGTTCATCCTGAAAGGTATGCCTACCAGATATGCATTCATCCACTTCATTCATTCCTTTCACTACAATCTGAGTATTTCATATAAAAAGGAAAAGAAACTTTAGTATGTATGTGTAATGAATCAATTAAATAATACAGTTCGAGAGCTAGCAGCATTCATAATACTGATAGGAGGGATTTATGAAGTATGCTGTTGAGCTGGCCTCAGGTCACAGATATACCAAGTTTCATAAAAACTGGTTCAAGCAGCTAAAAGTGTGCGCACATACACACACAACACACACACAGCAAGGTGACCTCACAAGCCTGCCTTGATTCTTTTTCAAAATAAGGAAAAAAGAATAGGCTAAAAAAATGTTGTACATACAGCTTCCTTGTGTGTGTTGACAGCCTTCTGCATCTCGTCTATCTTAACTTTAGTGTCAGCTTCAATACGTGCAGCAACGTCTTCCTTTGAACCCATGTGCTAGAAGACAATTTCATGCCAGTAATATTCTTAATATAAAAGTACACCTTATGTATTCTACTTGCATAGTATTCATACCGCCACAGAAATCAATTCTGATTCGATTGAACTCCATCATTTTGTTACATCAGTCTTACCACCATAATAATTTCTGGCAAGGAAAAGTCAAAGTTCATATATTTACAGCTACCATCTAACACTACAATGTGACCCCATGTACTTTGGTAGGAAGCTGTACACAGAATTTTGGGTGGGCACCAAACGAGAATTTCTTCATGTCAGCAGGAAAGCCCTGAACAACTTACAGGTGCAGAACAGAATTTTTAACAGTGGCAGCCATCACAATAAAGTATCATTCTATGATGATTCTGGAAAATGACCTTACAGGAGTCATTTCAAAACTCCATTCTCAGTGTAACTTATGTTCAAAGAGGCAACCATATCCAGCCCACTAATCCAGAAATGAGGCGTTTAATTCAGTCCTTTAAATTAAATGCAATGAATATTATAAATTATAAAAAATGTATACCCATGGCTAAATTCTGTCAAATCTGTTTGCACTTGTTCTGGAAGAGGGGCGTGAAATTTATGAAATGTTTCAAAGGGAAAGCAACATATAAAAGCTTGGGAACCACTGCTCAACACTCACTTCAACGTCAGTCAACCTCTTGAATGCAAATACACAGAAGTAGCATGATCCTGAGAAAATTTGCAAGTTATCAAGTCTTACAAATGAAAACATTTTCGGATGACCCAACAACTAACCTTGGTTTCAAATTCCTTAAACTGTCGTTCTCGCTCTTGCCTGTATTTCTCTATCTCATCTTGGGCCTCTTCTTTGGCTTGTTTTAAGCGACGTGCTTTCCCTGGAATTAAAAATTCTGTATTTATTTCATATATAGGTCACACCCCCTTCCACCTATTAGCATCGGATTTCTCTTTCCCTATACAAAATGATTTTTCAAATTTATGTCTATAATAATTTACACAAATTACTTACTTTTTCTAGCTTCTGCTACTTTCTCGGCAGCACGTTTTTCAGCCGCTAACAGTTGTTGGATACCCTGCGTCTGGCTAGCCATCTTCTGCGTTCAAGAGATCATATGACATGCAAGTTACCCTTATTAGCGGCAGATCACGTTTCGATCGCCATTCCCATAATGAGCACGGATTGATAAGTATAGATAGGCAACTGCATATTCTAGGAGTGTTGTAGAAACATGGATAACTATACTAGCGTCATAACTTAGTTTGCATGAGTTATGTAAATAATCTCAATAATTCTAGTAAGGCATTGGGAACACAAAGGAAACTGACAACCGCGATTTCCGCGAATTGTTATCAGCCTAAGTTAAACACATGTTACTGAATGGAGCATCGAAAATTGAGGAAACGGCAACGCAACTCGCGGAGAGACTGAGCAACTAAATATCCAAACAACGGATCATGCCAGTCTTCTGGCAATTGCGCTGTCGTGTAGTGTAGTAGTATCAGGTGTTCTACAAAACTTGAATACCCACAATTACGTGCGTGTATGGTCGTGCGTTATATGTAAATTGGTAAATATGAATTTTGATTTGATGTGGTTGCGAAACGAAAGTAGACATTTGCGAACGAAGTTACAGCTCCATATTAAACATATTTGTGTATATGAATGTTATGCTTACTACCACAAATGAAGTTAGAAACAAATAAATTCTTTCAAGCCTAAAATTTTTTAGGTTATCATGAACTGTCATCTAAACGATATTTGTTTTAAGATATGTTCTGCAACTTTCGGTTTATCACAAAGATTGTCTGTTGAATGTGAAGGAGTTCTAAGAGTACCGTGATGGTGTTATAATTTTTGTATTTAAGATTTGAGGCTTTCACGGAAGAAAGCAGTCTTTTGGGATTTGGCACCGTGTATATGTGGTGTTAACCGACGTTTCGGAGGAAAGTATCGCCTCCATCTTCAGGGTTAACACCGCATATACACGGTGCCAAATCCCAGAAGACTGCTTTCTTCAATTTTTGTATTGCTTCCTGCAGTATAAACATGAAAACGACATGTGCTGCTGCTGGGTGCTTGTCATCCAGCAAGCAAGGCATCACATTCTTGAGCTTTCCAAGGGATCCAGCAAGGTATGTCTGTTTTAATTCATGGTGTAATTACTTTATTATGTGTTGCTTAATCCTTTAAAATGTTGGCAGTGCAACCATTACCAAGTAGCCCAGAAAAGTTAGTAAAATTTAGTATTCAACCTATTTGTAAACCTTTAACATTTATTTTTAATTTGTCTCTTTGTACTGGAATTTTTCCTGATCAGATGAAGATTGCCAAAGTTCGCCCTATTCATAAGAGAGGACGAATTCAAGAATTATCTAATTATAGACCTATTTCACTATTATCTGTTTTTTCTAAAATCTTTGAAACATTAATATATAACAGAGTAGTGAATTTCTTAAATAAACATAATTTGATATCTGATGCCCAAAATGGCTTTAGACAAAATAAATCAACTCATACAGCACTGCAATCATTTATTGAGGATGTTCAGAAAGCATTAGACAATAAGTTTTTTGCTTTGGGTATTTTTTTGGATCTTCCCAAGGCTTTTGATGTGATAAACCACAAATTACTGTTGGCTAAATTGGAACTTTATGGGTTTAGAGGAATTTCACTCTCTTTGATGAGATCATATCTTACGGGTAGATCCCAGTTTGTAGAAATTGACCATGTTGATGCCAAGTCTCCAAATCAAAAATCATTCTCCTCTTCGTGTAAGGAAATAAAGTACAGTGTTCCTCAGGGTTCGGTTCTGGGACCTCTTTTGTTTTTAATGTTTATAAACGATTTGCCTAAAGCTGTTCATGAAGCGAAAGTTGTTTTATTTGCAGATGACACCAATATACTAATTATTGACAAAAATCTTAAATCTTTAAATGATAAAACTATAGTTTCTATGCATCAATTAGAAAATTGGTTCGCGGTAAATCATCTTATTATTAATATTGAAAAGACAAAAGCACTCTTTTTTCAGGGACGTGGTCCCCGTCAAATTGATAAACCAGAACTTTATTTGAATAATAAGAAAATAACATACACAGCTAATTTAAAATTTTTAGGTATATATATTAGAGAGAATTTAAGTTGGTTCTCTCACATTCACCGTTTAGTTCAAAAATTAAACAAAACCATCTATCTTATCAAATCCTTACGAGATTTGGTCAGTCTTCCAATTTTGAGAAGTGTGTATTTTGCGAAATTTGAATCTTTATTGAGATATGGTATTATTTTTTGGGGCTGTGGTCAAAAGGACATTCAAACTGTATTTAAAATCCAAAAAAAAATGTTTAAGACTGATCAAAAGAGTCAATAACAGGATATCGTGTAGAGAATTTTTTGGTGAATTTAAAATTTTAACCTTAACTTCATTGTATATCTTTGAGACGTTGTGTTTTTTTAAGGAAAAATACGATATATAACATCTCGTATTCAGATGTGCACGGTTATAACACAGTACATAAGCAGAATTTGTATGTCCAACCATGTAACACCTCACGTTGTAAAAGGAGTGTGATTAACATGGGAATAAGATTGTATAATAACTTGCCCTCTCAAATAAGAAGTATTCAAGAGTTCAAGGTTTTTAAACGTCAATTAAAGGATTACTTGTTGTGCAAAGCTTTTTATTCCCTTCAAGAATATTTTTACAAGAATTAGCTTAATAATAGAACAAAGATACTTAGGTAATTTATTTTAGCTATTGCATGTAATTTATAGTTTAGCTTTTGTTGCCTTATTATACTCATCCACTGTTTTATAATATTTAAAGGACTTATTATGTTATTTTTCTATGGTTTTTTATATTATTAGTCATTTGATGTGATGTTTAATCTCATATATTTTTTTAAAAACTGACTTGTCCAATTGTACATAATGTAACAGTTATGGATATTAAATCAATCAATCAATCAAACTTTTGCAGTGAAAGAAACCTCGTTTCTCATAAGCCCTGTAAATATAAATACTTCTGATGTGGAACTCAGGCATATCAATCATTGCAGCAAGCCACAACACTGTATTGGCTACAGGTAAGGACCACTGCTTATGTGAATTATGTTCTGTTATGAAAGAAGTGGCTAGCGAGAATAATGAGAGCTAATTTTTGAAGTAATTGTCCCAAGAACCCAGTTGTGATCAAACAAACGTCATTGTCATCATCATTCATTACTTATGAAATTACATCAATATACACTTTTATTATAAATCTTATTTTACTGTCTTATGTGCAACTTTTTAAGTTTTAAATTTTAAACTTAAAGTTAATAAATAGTTTCACATAAGACAGTAAAATGAGATTTATAATAAAATTGGAGAGTGCAATAGGATGCTACAATACAATCTTATCAATACAAAAGTTATGTAGGATATGTCAGATGTTTTTAGAGTAATTAAAAATCTTTGAAAAGCAGATCACACTATCAGCAATATGATTTATGAGAGAATAAGCTGGTAAAGACTTTACTATGAGAAGTAATTTAATGAAATATACAAAATCTTTATAATGGCAGTCCCTTTAAAGTAAAATGAGTTATTTTGAAATCTGAAGAAGTCCATCATGTAAAGAAGCCCACTCATTTCCTTTTTAATGTTCTTTCAGGAGAGTGCTGTGGTGAATACTTGGCAACAGCTGTTTGATGATCACCTTGTGAAAACATTTGAAGCTATTTGTTTGTATTCTGGTTTGAACAATAATCCAACTGTGGAACAGTTTATAGATGCCCTGAAGACTAACATCATGAATGCACTTGCTATCAGAGGTCTGTGTGGAACTGTTTGTGAGTATGATGGTGCTACTGTTGTGGGTAACCTGTAGTCATTGTTCAGGGCACATGAGGCTTCTTCACTAAATCTGTCCACAGGTCATGGCAAGGTAACCCTGATGAAGTTCCTGAGTTTCCATGTTACTCAGCAAGTACAGAAGGACATGGTTGCTTCAGTTCATGCTGGTGACATGGAAGTGTTCTCAGTAGCCTCTGTCAGTGGTTCCGTTGCCAGACACGCGCTTTGTGATGTCAGCTGTGATGCATGCAAAACATGCGTGACATGTGAAGTGCTGCTATCAGCCAATGTCTTCATATATTTCAAGGAGTGCAGTGATACAGTACAGCCTCTTGCTTGTCCTTCTGAGAAGTTGGTGTGGAGACTGTTGGTATGCTGTAACTCTAATGAAATCTATGATGGCAGGCAATTCAATTCATATTGCAGCATACCACAGCTGCCATTAAGAGCACCATTGACTTGGAGTGGATTAGGTGTACAGGTTGTTCACTTCACTACCAACGAATAGTAGATGGTATTGTGAGATGTCTCACAAGAATTTACATTCCTTGGTGGTGTAAGCGAACAAACAGGTTGATGATCGAAGCAGATAGGCAGAGGGCTACAAAGAGGAAGATTAAGCTACTGACTCATCAGTAAGTCATTAAGAAAGTAATGTGTCTTCATCTTTGCCTTGTAATATACTGCCCATACCAGCCCTGGAAATCAGCAGAGAGCAGTTATTGAATCACTGGAATAATATATTCCAATTGCTCACATGAGCATCAATAGATCTTACATAAGTTGGAGAAAGTAACCCTGGTGACAAGCAACTGCAACTACCATGCCTTCACATGCTCTTGTATAGAGTAATTTGTTGATAACATTGTCACCTTCAGTCATATTACATACAAGAAACCTATTCTGAACTTGAGCTCCATCTCTTCCTTGCTTTGGAGACCTGTTTCCTTCTTCCCAGTATATTAGAACATCATTGTCAGAAGATGGTCAGAGTTCATTCTGCCCTGTGTCTGAAAATAATTATATTTCAATCGAGAATTGTGTGGGAAATTCTTTTCTGACTCAAATGGTTCTTGTTTATGTGTGGGTAAGAATGAAGTGGCGTTACTTTATAATTGACTTGCAATCTTCAAGTTACCTGATTCAGCATGAAACACCGAGGAGCAAAATCAATGTCAGGATTCACTGTGTATTTTGTAATTAAGTTTATTTACTACTTC